ATATTGAATGTGCAGGTAGCCTGTATCACATGTGCCATCCCTGAGCAATTTGGTCCCTGGCAGGAGGGGGCATTCATTCCTAAATTAGCCCAGTTGCATGGAGACACAGTAAGTGCCTGCCCAGGGTTGTTTGTTCAGCATCTGACACCTCTGCACTGCAAAGCCTTACACAAGTGCTCAGGGGCATAAAGAGCTCATTGAGTGCAGGAGGAACACAGCAAGGGGGACATGTGAAGGCTTGCTGTGGAGTGAGTGGGACATGGGGAGAAGACTCACCTGCCCCGGCAACTGCTGCCACTGCCATAGTAGAGTTTGCTCTATCGGAGCTGACCCGGGTGCCCTGTTTGTCCTCTCCTGCTCCCCTCACACACAACCTAGGGATGCAGAGCCCTGGCAAAGGGTGGGCAGAAGCACTATTTCTCTGGCTTCACTTAACAGCCCCACCCAGATGCACCACTGGGGGTGGCACTGCCCTGCCCAGTCATGGCAGGCCAACCCTTGCTGCAGCCAAGCCCCCAGGAGAGCCCTGCTCCTAGTCAGGGCCAGGGGCTGGTGCCTTGCTTAGGGTTATCATGTGTCCAGGTTTTCCTGAACACATCCTCTTTTGGGGTCCTCCCCTTTCTATCTGGGCATTTGTTTTGTTTTGTTTTTTAATATTAACAGATGTCCTGGATTTTGCTTTGCTCAGCATGCACATTTTCCCTGGCTTGCCCTAGAGAGGAGTTGCTTGGAGCTGGGGGGCACCTGTGGGAAGGCAGCCAGGCAGGGCAGTGGGAGCAGCCCTGGCAAGTAAGCATATGGGTGTGGTGGTTGGAGGGCCAGGGCTTGGGCATTGTGGTGAGAAGGGTGTGGGTGTGTGTGTATGGGTTGGGAGTGTGAGGTAGGCAGGTAGGGTGGCCATCATGGAGGATACCAACTTTTCTGCCACTCTGTCCTCTATTGATATGAAACCCAACACTTTTATGTCCTCTATTTTTCTCTTGACATAAAGGCGTCCAGTTTCGTATCAATAGAGGACAGAGGACAACCGGACTGTCCTCTATGATAGCGGCTCTACGGGCAGCTGCCTGCCAGCCCTAGGGGGCAGCGTGCAGCAGGGGAACGGGAGCCCTTTGGTGGCACCAGGGCTGTGCTTCCAGGTGCGGTAGAACCAAACACGCTGCAGAGAGCGGGGACTCAGGAGCAGCACTGCCCCTCACAGCCACATGCCCCGAACCCTGCCCCAGCAGGAGACAACAAGACGGCGGCGCAGTACCAACGCCTTGCTCCGCCTTCACCCCCCGCGCGGTGCGCAGACGTTCTAGCCCCACCCCCAGGCGCCTCTCAGCCACTTCAACCCCGCCGATTCGCCGCACCGCCCTGACGCCCGTTGGCGCGTGCGCTAGCTGGGGCGAGGGCGGAGGCGGGGAGGGAGGTGCTGTGATATCGCGCTAGTCGGCTGTCCGACTCACTCTTGACGTCACTGCTGCCCGGGGGGCGGGGCTTGGCACCTGTTGGCTGAGGGCGGTCGCGCCGCGATGAGGTCGCCTCGCAGAACGCAGGGAGGGTTGCGCCCCTTTCCGCGCAGGTGCAGGCCGGTAGTGCGCTGAGCTCGGCAGTTCTCAGCCGGGGGTGCAGTGCGGAGCCGCGCCTGCTCGCGGTGCCAAGGCCAGTGAGATTCCGCAGGCTTGAAACCCGCTGCGGCCTTTTTGAGGGCGTGGCACCGGGAGGGCTGCTCTGGAGATTTTGCATAGTCAAAAAAAAAGCCAAACTAGGAGTGAAAAGGAAGAGCTGGCACTTGCTGAGGGGCACCCAGTTTAAGGAGGGGCCCCAAGTCTGAAGAGGTTGAGAAGCGCTGGGTTAGTCCCACCTGGGCAGCGCAGCAAGCTTTATATGTTGATAAAAGTGTGTCGTGGACCGGGGTGGCCAACCATTTTACCTCCTGGGCTGGCTGGGTGGTGCCAAGTCTCTGCAGGGGATAGGCCTGATCTGACTTCAATCCGTCTGTCAGACAAGACAGTGGCAAGGTAGAGCGACCCCCTGTCAGACGTGGGTGGAGAGTGGAGGAGTAGGCTTGATCCTGACACGTTGTGGGGTCTGGACACATGGGAGTTGGGAGCAACCCAGCCTGATCTGGACATGTGGGTTTTGGGCCCCACCCTGATTCCACTTTCATTGCACTGCCCTGGGTAAGGCTGGTGCTGACTCTGCAAGTCTCCTAACGCTCCCCGCTGCCAAGTTGTCCAACCCATGGTGCAGATAATCATTTAGTGGGCCGGATTTGGCCCATGGGCCGGAGGTTGAGCACCTTTGATTTAGAAGTAGAGGTGGTTATACTGCTCTAATTATGCCAGTGCAATTAAAACTACAGCATCTGTAAAACCCAAGGCTTATGCATTCACAAGGTGACATTTTCAATTTGGAAACGTATTGCCCTCCCCCAACCCACTTAAAATGTTCAAGTACTTATTGTTTGGGAACTAACTTACACAACAGCTGCTTTTATAAGATATAGACATGGAAATATAAGACGCATAACTGCACTTCTGTAGATTTTAAGCAATGGCCCCTGGAAACGAGCTGAAGAACTCCAAACTCCTCTTACCATGTGAATGGCAAGGATGTCTCTTTGTAGGAAAAGGCATGGAGGAGCTTTTTAGCCACATTGCAGAGCACTTGAACGAATATCTACAACTAGAAAGAGCAGGTAATAATGTCTCAGTCATTTTACGGACAATATTAATATTTTGAGGATTTTGTACTCTATGGTTCTGATCTGGAGGGTGATGAGCAGGTAAGCTGAAATCAGAGAGCTCAATGTAGTCAATTGCAGCATTGAGACATTTTTCATTGCATCTGATTATACTGTATTTTCTTTTTATTTTCGTGTGTATATTATACTAAAATAGGAATAAAATAGGTCTGGCCATGAAGTAAAATTTTTAACTTGAAGTTTTTTCTTGAGCCATCTTGGATGAAACTATTTAAATTAGGAGTCTCAAAGAAAAAAATTAATAACATTTAGTGTTCTGGAGTTTGTATATTAAGTAGGGTTACCATAGGTCCAGTTTTCCCAGACATGCCCTCTTTTTGGGTCCTCTGATCTCCATCCAGGCATTTTTTTTTAAATCTGAACAAGTGACTAGGATTTTGCTTTGCTCCACTGTTGGGAACAAGGGGTGGGCGATTGGAGACAACGGGGCACCATGTGCATGTGTGTGTGCACACGTGGCTGGCATGCAGCCGGGCAGGGTGGTGAGAGCAGCCTCAGCAGCTGGATGCTGGTAAGTCTATGGGGAGCAGGGATTGAAGGGCCAGAGCCCAGGAGGTGCTGGGTGAGTTGTGGGGGAGGTATTGGCGGGGGGGGGGGGGGGGGGTGGGG